ATATTTTATTTTTTATTAAAAAATTAATACTTTTTTTTTATGTTCGCAGGCAAATTTGCCTGCTCTACAGTTTAAGGAATAAGACCAAATTGCATTATAAGAAATAACATAAGCCTTAAAAATTGCATAAAGTGCAATATTGAAGAACTTAAGACCTATAATAATATAATATTTAGTTAGTTTGAGATTTTAATCATTTGATCTTGTAATAACTTCCTAATCTGCCTTTTTAATTTCTTTTTATATGCATCAAGTTATCAATACATAGTAAGATAAGAAGCCTTTGATTTTTCTAGATTACTTTTTTAAAAACATATTTAGGTGTTAATTTAGATGTTAAATCTATTTTAAAATTAAAATTAGTAATTTTTAAGTTATGATTCTTAATTTAGATAGTCCAGAATATAAATTGATCATTCTTATTGCTATCTTTTATATAAAGAAATATTAAAAAGTCAGCATTTTGCTATTTCATTTGAGGTTAAATGTCACACTAGTTTAATAATCTTTCATTAAATCATTATAAATTAAAATAGTACTAATAGTGGCAAATCTTATAAAGAAGACACTAGCATTTTTAAGATAATTGTGTTCTTCATTATTTTCACGCAATATAATATTATTAATTAATAATTCATCCAAAAACGTTGTAAATTTAATATCTTCAGAAAAAAGCTACAATGTAAAACCTTTATAATAGAAACTTAAAAAAATATTAATAAAATTTAATCTGTTGATTGAATTTTAATCAAATAAAAAAAATTGATTTATATTTATAAAAATGAATCAATTTATAAAAAAAAGTTTTTTTTTAATTTTATAAGTTATGTAAGTATCATATAACATATATATAAACCAATCAGAAACTAGTATTAAAATCATATGAAATAATTTAATTTATTTTATTTTATTATTTTATTATAAATTACATTAGATGCATGACGATGAAACTTATATTTTTTAGTTACAAACTTTACCATTTTTTAAGTAATACTTTTCTTATAAATATTTATATATCACTATGATTTTTATGCATATTTTTGAATTGTAATTAAAAAAACAGAATTTAATGTTTTAGGAATAATTATTATAATAAATCTATGTATAATTGTAATATTTTATGTATTTCTTTTACTATACTCTAATATATCTTTATATAATTCAATTTACAATAATATTTAAATTAAAATATATGAATAATAAAAGAATCTTTCTTATAAATTCATCATTACATATTTTTTTTAATTTCAGTTTTTATAATTAATTTTGGATAAATTTAACTTGATATAACTTTATCAATATTAAAGATATCAAAATTCTAATCCAAGATTCTTAAAGCATAGGTTATGGTTTATTTATTTTATAAATTAAATTTTTAATTTTATATATAATAAATTTTTTTTTGCATTTTAAATTTATTCCATTTTTACTATAGTAAAGTTCCTATTATAGAGGTTCTGCATCATAATTATTTTTACAATTTTGTTTCTTTTTTGAAGCCTTTAATGAATCAATACAAGAATTAGCTTTTCAACTAATTTATCACATTTTTCAGATTCTACAATTCTTTGTCTAAGTAATTGTATAATACGATTCAATATATTATTGTTTAAAAATTCATAAGAAGCTTCAGTAATTATTAATTTTGGTGAATAATAAGCTAAAGCTTTTATTTTATCTTGAGAGATCACAAGACAAGTGCCAAGATAACTAGCAATAAGATTTGAGGAAAAGTGAATAGATAGAGAAATATCTACAAAACATAAAAAAGCAAGAATAGTCAAACTTGTAAAATTTTTTGTTTTTTCATCACCATCAATATGATTATTGCTTCTTTCTTATAACTTTACTTTTACAAGAACTTTAATATTTTCTTATACCTTAATTTCACTTGCATTAGTTTCAGAACCTTTAAGGTATGCATCTTTGAGTATCTTCTAATATAATCTTCCTTTAGAAAAATTTATTATAGTAATTGCCTAAGGATTCAGCCAAAAAGTTAAAGGTAGAAATATAGACAAATGGCATGAATATTTTATGATTAATTGTTTCTTTTATGGTTAGATCTTTTCTTAAAGTAGATGCAAAATTTGAAATTTGCAAAGTAGTATCTAATATAACTAAAAATAAGTCTTCTGCTCACCATATATTTGTTTGAAGTGTTTACCTCCAATATTGAAATAAAGATATAGATAGATTATCATTAACATGTTGTAGTGTTTCTTTCTTATCAACACAAAGCAGAATTTTGATGTTAGATTGAATATCAAATTTTCTTTTAAATAGCTTATATCAGTAATAATTTTTGATTTTTAGTAATTTTACAATGATTTGCAGCTTCTATTGCAGGTTCCTAAATAGCTTTACCATTATCTTCAAGATGATGTTTCCAAAACTCACTTGGATTATGTTTAGTACCTATTAAAGAAATAAAATAGTCATTACTAAAAAATTATTAAACTATTTTACTAGATCCTTAATAACTTTTAAATAATTAATAAATTGTTTTGCATAAGCTGATGGGACAGAAAAAACAATTCAGATTAATATCTAAATTTAAGTATAAGGTATAGATCTACTTTGCATATTTTTTAATGAGTCTCGATTTATCATAACCTGAGAATTATACAATAAAAATATAAGATATGTAACTATCTCTGTCTTTAAAACTATTATGACATAATATAATATAATTATGAAAATTTTGAACATAATATGAGTCATCTTTAAATTCATGATTGAATGCAAGAGAAGCATATTCAAAATTAGGTATATCTTTATAAATGGCTAATTTTGACATTTTATTCGTAATATCTGGTGATGAATAATTATAGTTAAAAAAAGTTGTAAATAATTAAATTTTGATTGTATATAATACTTACCATTAATTACAATCTCTAATACATTTTCATTTGTATTATATAATTCAGAAATAGGAGTTTTTGAATTTAAATCTTTGTTCTTCTCATAACAAAGAGTAATATTTTCTGATATATCCAACTAAACTCTTTCAGTTTATTTATATTAGATATCCCTAAATCATCTAATGATTGTGATTTGAAAGAGATAGTTTGATTTTTATAACGGACTCATATTTCGTTAAATGCTTGAGCTATATTTAAAGTTAACAGGATGTAAATATAGAATATCAATTTAAGTGAGTTTGAAACATTAAGAACAACATCTTTTCTCTTATAAATCAACATGTAATTTATTATTATTAACCTTCAACAATTTTAGCAATAATAGGGTTATCTTTTATTATTTTATATTTATCTTTAACGAGATGTAGTTATTTTCACAATTATTAAATAAGGTTTGATTTAAATTCGTTGTAGATTGTATTAGTAGAAAGTTTTATTCTGAGAGTAACATTTTCATTCAGTTTAGATTGATTTATAATTACTATTTTAATATCCTAAATACTAAGTTCTTCAGAAGAAAAAAAAAGTTGTGCTTTAATACGTATTCGTTCTAGATCATTACCTTGATATTTATAGCACAAACTATTTTTCAGTTTCTCAGAAAAGTTCTTCTTCTTTCTGCTAGCATGAGTAAGCATAATGGAATTTTTTGTGATTAGTAAAGACGATGATTTTCTGAGATGCAAATAGTATATTATTAACATTACATTAAATTTAACAAAAGGAAAAAGGGATGATCACATATCAAGCGTCAGACATGTCGTATGCAGATCATTTTTATATTAAAAAATTTTTGTGTAATTATAATTAAATTACTTTACTCTATAGTTAACTATTGTAATATGTTATACTTACCACTCATATTAATTAAGAAATTGATAGATTATCATATGTTCAATCAATTATAACCATTGATTTTCCTTTTAGACAATTTACTTTTTTTTTACATTTATACAAAATTTCACTTTAAAAATAAGTTTTTTAAGATCTTCTTACAAGTGGATACAAATATACAACTTTAACAACAAAAATATATGTAATTTTATATGAGGAAGAAGATTCTCTTAGGTTGTAAAGTTTGTTTTTCAGTTGGATTTTATGTAATATACAAAAAATCGATTTTTTAAATAAAAAAAAAGTTTTTAAATTATAAAATTTTATGGTGACAAACTCTTAATAAATGCTTTGAATTTAAATACAACTTGGCGGAAATAATAACCTTATTAAATAAGTAATTTATCTTTTTCTTGAATGACTCTATTTTAGCTAAATAGACAATGTTAATAAAAACAATAAAAAATATGTAGAAGTTTAAGAACAATTATTAAATAATAAGAAAATAATATATTTTACTAATTTAAAATTATATATTATAGGAGATATTGAAAAAAATTTAATATTCTATATTAATATTCTATTCTAATAAAATATAAAATATCTAAAAAAAAAAAAAAAAATTTCATTTAGTATTTAGTATTATTTTTTTTTAATTAATAAAAAAAGTAAATCAAAAAATTATCATTAAAATTAAATACCTCTCATTAATACAACATATTTTTCATTTTAAAATTGTTTATATTACTTTCACATATTAAAATAAGAATAGACAACTTGTTTGAAGAGATCTTCTTAAAACTACCGAACCGTTTAACTTTTAAAACTTACAAAAATGTTTTTG